ACAAAATCGTATTGCAATACGATATTTTTTGTCATTGTATTGCAATATATTGAAATATCGATACTTTTACCCAGCCCTATAATTGAATAAAGCTTCCTCTTCTAAAATTGTGAATTTCATGGCCCCAGGGTCGGGGGTTCTTGTGTTAGGGTGGGGCTCTATTGATTTTATAGTAAAAATACACTTTCTTTAAAAATCTGCTCCTCTGCTCCTGGGTATTAAATCAGTGAACTATTTAAATAGTTATGATGAGGAAGGCTGCCTATTCCAAAATTGTGAATTAAAGGGTCCCTGGGTCAGGTGTTTTGGTGTTAGTGTGGAGATCTAAAGATTTTAAAGTGAAAATGCATGAATTCTTTGAAAATCTTTTCCTTTGCTTCTTAGTATTATGCCAGTGATCTAAGTACATATTTATAATGAAGAAAGCTGCCTCTTCCAAAATGGTTAATTTTCAGGCCCCTGGATCTGGGAACTTGGAGGGGGTACATAGTCTGAAAATCAATTAATAGAATTAATAGAATCAAAGAATACCAAATCTGTAATTTGGTATTCATCAACAGTTTATGATGAAATAAAAGAGCAAGAGTCATAAAGTACAAAAATTGGCCTGATTTCAAAATAGAACATTTTTGCCTCTCGATATATCTACAGACTATATATTTTTTTAAACCAACTTTCTTTTTTCAATATCTCTTACATATTTTCTGTAAGAGGTCTTCAAAATAGCATATGTATATGGATGAATTTCGTACGTTTTACGGAACGTCATAATGAAGTTGTGAAATTTAACACTTCTGAGTTCTCATAAATAAAGTGGTAAATATTTATTAATTGATGAAAAAAATGTACCGTATAAGTAGAAATTTTAGCGAGACGCAAATTTAGCGATTTCTAGCCAAGATCTGGTATTTCATTTTTAGCGAGAAGTAATTTTAGTGATTTTAAAATGCTTACCAAAGATGCTATTACAAATAATACGCAATTAATTTTTAGCGATGTCAGCACCCTTGCTAATAATGCCAAAATTAAATCCTCGCTAAAAATTCTACTTATATGGTATATTATAGAATATTACAGATAGTACTTTGATATTTTGTTTATAAAAGATAACTTTGAAATTTTGTATCAGTACAAACAAGCTTAGGTACAATGTACATGTAAAAGTGACAATGACAGCGTGTCCACGTTCAACGTGTGCATCATATCGCAGTACATGTAAATAATAAGATATACGAGGGGTTATCAAAAAGTTTGTGGACTGGCGCCATCAAATTAAAACCGCTTTAGGTACATCAATGAATTTTCAAATATCTGGTTAGCATCATCTTTTCTATCTATAGAATAAACCGCAGATCATACATTTTATTTTTAAATGAATTAGTAATGTTTTTGTAAGCTATGGTATGTCCAGGTGGCGCAACCTCGAATACGGCGTATTTTCGACTGAAGCATAACTAAGAAAAACTCTTTTGATATGAACATTTGACATCCCAAAATCTGATTAATTCAGGTATATGTTGGGACACTATTGATTCATAAAATATGAAGTTTTCAATTCATTCTAAAAGTTCTATGAAAATTTATCATGAATTTGACATGGAGTGTCTAAACAAATAAGTCCTTGAAAATGACGTCAAAGGTGGAAGGGGTTTCATTTTCCAACATTCTAAAAAAGTTTTGGCCCTGAAAAAAGTGGTATAGACCTAGGAAATATTTAAACTGGCTATGGAGAAATTAACTGCATCCAGAGTACTTGTTTTTTAATGCAAAAGAGGTCCAGAGAGAAAAGGGATGCACAGTTAATGTCGTTTCTTAGTCAAGTTGTGAAAAATCATTCACGTCAAAAAATGACGTTGATCATATGTTGTAGATATTAAACTCCCAAAAGCATAATATGCTGGCACAATCAAGCGAGGATTTCTCCCAATGTATCAATCCATTTGCAATATTATATGCATTTAAAGCTGCTGTTCCTGACATTGTAAAGTCATGAAAACAAGACGGGTTTAAGTCCTTACTCAACTCCAAGGAATCTCATCAAATTATGTGTATTACGTAGAAGAAGCGGACATTGAAAAACAATGACGTTGTGGGACGTCATGAAACTAAACGGCGACGGCGACGGGTAACCATATAATGTCTTTTTTATTTTCTCATATTTTAGCAAAAAATGAACGAATCAAGCTAAAATTTCAACATTTCTTTAGGGGACGACCATTTGATTCTGAGGTGGGGGCCTGGCAGATTTTGGAAATAAGTAATCTGTCCCTGAAAATGTTGAAAATAAATAATCTGTCCTCCACTACAGAGAAAATAAATAATCTGACCTTGACTTCTGATATTTAAATATTGTAAAAATACCTTTTTTATTTATGTGTAATTTAATCTCAAAAGTCTTCAATTCAAAATTTTTTTGGCTCGCTTCGCTCGCCATTTTAGAACCAATTAGTATTTAAAATCAGATTACATTACCAGACTGGATACTTAAGTCAGTTTATCAACATGACAATGTGCACTTAGTAGGTGTGATGAATAACTTTAAATACAAACCAATTCTTATACACCACAAAAGATAAATTATATATATATATATATTAATTTTCTTGTCGAATAATTATACTTTCCAGATTAATTAATACAAAATATACACTGGTGGATTTATGGGGTGTACATGTGTACGACCCCAGGCCCTCCCTTAAAATTTCAAAGTATGATACGAATAATAACTAGAACTGTCCAGTAGGGACAAATACCCCCCGCTGGGTTTTTCAGAGAAGGTGCCAATTCAAAAATACTTTATGGATCTAGAGGTGTTCATAATTTACTTACAAAATTTGCAGTGAAATATAATTGCATGCTCATCATGTTTCTTAATGAATGAAACAAAGGTGCAACCAAATGAAACATCAATACTAATACATTGTAATTCCATTGTAACATTATTTTTTTATTTTATCTTTTTATTTCTGCATTAAAAAAATATATTGCAATTATGTGTTATGTCACTCTGCAAACTGATTGTTGAAAAAAAATCATATTATACAAAATCAAATTAGTCTTGATAACTTTATATCAAATTCATTTTGAAAATAAAGAGCTGGTCATCCAGTAATGAAGTGCTTTGACAGACAATAAATTACAATTAAGAGAATAAGAGAAGAGAGATCTTTAATTCTTGTGCCCGATTCCCAGGAGATAACATATGGTTCATAATGAGATACCTTAATGTTCAACTTCCCACACCAAACTCATTAATTTATCTTTAACTGGATGCATGTCCAGTCATTATTTCCAAGAGACAAATGAAACTATATTATCTTCTGTGCAATGTAAAAACTGTTTTTAACACTTGATGATGTTTCTTTTTTTTCAGTTTTTATGAGTAGTTTTAAGCTGTAGTTAACGTTTTTGTACAGATATTCTAGATTCTATGTCTCAAACCTTATACATGAGCCCAAAATGAACAAGTCAATTAAAATAAAAAATAAAACCTGTAAAATGCATAAAAATGAACAAAAAGAGTTGAAAATTCCAGGTGCACACCTTCATATGGTGAATAATAAGTGTACAAATTTTCAGATTAATCCTTGCAATAGTTTCTGAGAAACGGTCCGGACAAAACCACAAAATAAAAATGAAAAAACACCTGTAAAATTCAAAATAATAATCGAATCAAGATGAAAATTTCAGGTGCACAACTTCATATGGTGAATAATAAGTGTACAAATTTTCAGACAAATCCTTCCAATAGTTTCTGAGTAATGGTCCGGACAAAATCTTGTCTACAGACAGACAGACAGACAGACGGACAGACAGACGGACATGGTGATTCCAATATACCCCCCCTAAACTTCGTTTGCGGGGGGTATAATAATAATGCCATACTTTGGGACAATACCAATATTTTAGTGCCTAGTTTTACTCTTAAAATACACAAAAACCCAAGAGCTTCAGGGGGCTTCGCCCCCTGGGCCCTTTTCATTCAAAGTACATGTATGATATGACTTAATAACGTCATACTTTGGTACATATATAACCAATTCCTACAAAAGTTTTACTCTTATGCATATTGAAAAACCCAAGAGCTTTATAGTTGATTTTGCTCCCTGAACTTACTTCATTCAAAATACGGTATGACCAGTATTAATCATGTCATACTTTGGTTCATAATAACCAATACCACTACAAAATGCCTGGTTTTACTCTTAAAATACATGAAACCCCAAGAGCTTCGGGGGTGGGGGGTGTACTCCCTTGGCCTCCACCAGGGCTTCGCCCAGGACCCACTGGGGCCCTTACGGCGGCCCCAGACCTCTTGCCTAAACAAAGTTATACCTGTCCCCTCCCCAAATCCTGTATCCGAATATGGTATATAAATGATTAGTCTTTAGAATCAATTGATCAAGGTACTGTAAGACATAAAAGAAAATTAATAATCTGTCCTTGATAATCTTGAAAATAAATAATCTGTCCTCGACAGGCATGAAAATAAATAATCTGTCTCAAAAAAATTTGCCAGGCCCCCCCCTCAGGATCAAATGGTCGTCCCCTTATTTTTTGTTGCTTTCATGTCCCTGATAAATTTTGAAAGTATAGACTACATAGTACTAATTTTATAGCCTCAGTCCACGAACTTTTTGATAACCCCTCGTATTGTAACGTTTCATTATTGACATTGATAATGTTTTATAATAATAATTTTATCAATAATTTACACAAACTTTATGCATTTGAGGTTGTAATTAACCAGTATAAAGCCAAATCTTTAACTGCATATTTACATGCATCTACAGGTACTTTCACTCTCAGAAAGATGAGTCCATAAATTATTGTTTTGAGAAAGGGAACTTAACAGCAGTTTGCATTAACTCGTACATGTACATGTACGCTGCTGATTGAACTATAATTTTTAATAGTAAATGATTTAAAACATTAACAGTTTAGTATGATTTTGATAACACTGAAAATGGCAATCAAACATTCATAGCTTGTATTTGTAGATCCCCTGCACAGAATAGCAAAACTTTTCCAGGAGATGGAGATGATTCTTCTAGCTGTAATGGAGGGACTGGTTCTACCAAGAAACTCAAGTCCACATCATCCACTGATGACCTGAACACAACATCCAGTTTTAAAGGCGTATGTTTTCAGCTTTAAAGCTAAACCAAAAAGAAGGTTTTAAAGGATAAATGAATGGTGAAAAAAAATTGCTTGAGAGCAAGTCAAAAGTCTTATGTTGATTAAACTACTTGTACATTTTCTTGATGGGCGACAAGTTTGAAGATTTTGGATAGGTCTATTCCAAAGTAACTGCATGCCTATCAGATATAAATTTAACATTTTGGGATGTAAACTGATAGAATGTTAGTTAATTGTGGGACATTGCCTTACTTAAAGACAACATTCAGTGAGGTGAGCTTTCTAATCTCTGATTACCTATGTTTGGAGTTACCTAATATAACCAAGCGGAGAAGGAAAACGCAGGTTCAGTTTATAAATTTATTAGGAAATGAAAAAGCAATGGCAGATCTAAAAATACAAAAACATATACAATATCATAATACACATAGATACTGAGACAAAATACTTTTATTTCCTATTCACTTCAAAAATAAGAAAATTTAAGTTTACTAAGCCCAAAATGTCATTTTCATAGTTTAAAATATCTTTCTTTCAAAAATATGAAAAATACCTGAGCTTATAACTTGGACTTAATCAATAAAATACAAAAATTTAATAGACTAAGAAAATTACCTTCCAAGTGGTGACAATGGGTAGCTGGTAATAAGTAAGTTAAATTTCCAGCGCTGACAGGGATGGGCCCATGCCTCAGTATATATAGCAGAAAAACCGGTTAAACAAGGGGGTACAAATTTACTGGCCAATGAGATTTTGTGAGTAGAATTCATGAATGGAGACTACTACCAAATATGGCTTAAAGTAAATTATGGCTCAGTAAGTTATTCAATAAAGATAAAAAATTATTTTAAATAAATATGACTCTGCCACACTACTGCACACATTTGATGAGTTTTTAGCTCACCTGAGCCGAAGGCTCAAGTGAGCTTTTCTGATCACATTTTTTCCGTCGTCCGTCCGTCCAGCTGTCTAGCTGTCCCTCCGTCTGTAAACTTTTCACATTTTCAACTTCTTCTCAAGAACCACTGGGCCAATTTTGACCAAACTTGGTACAAAGCATCCTTGGATGAAGGGGAATTTAAATTGTTAAAATGAAGGACCAAGTCCCCTCACAAGGGGAGATAATCAAGAAAAGACAAAAATAAGGTAGGGTCATTAAAAAATCTTCTCAAGAACCACTGGGCCAGAAAAGCTGAAACTTATGTGGAAGCATCCTGGGGTAGTGTAGATTCTAAATTGTTCAAATCAAGACCCCAGGGGGTTGGGTGGGGCCACAATGGGGAATCAAAGTTTTACATAGAAATATATAGGAAAAATCTTTGAAAATATTCTTCTCAAGAACCACTGAGCCAGAAAAGATGAAACTTATGTGGAAGCATCCTGGGGGAGTGTAGATTCTAAATTGTTCAAATCATGACCCCCAGGGGTAGGGCAGGGCCACGATAAGGAATCAAAGTTTTACATAGAAATATATAGGAAACATCTTTGTAAATCTTCTTCTCAAGAACCACTGGGCCAGAAAAGCTGAAACTTATGTGGAAGCATCCTGGGGTATTGTCGATTTCAAATTGTCTAAATTATGATCAGTGGGTAGGATGGGGTCACAATATGTATTACAAGGGGGAAATCTGGTAAAGAATAGAAGGGTCAAAGCTTCTCAGGTGAGCAATGTGGCCCATGGGCCTCTTTTTTTTTAATTTTTTTTTTTTTATGCTGGATAGGAGCATGTTGATATTAAATTTTAGGGCATCTTATTCCTTTAGACCTGTGTATATCAATTAATTACAATATTTATGGAAAAGTACAACAAGTATTTCAAAAAGAAAATGATTTAATTTGCTTAAATAAAGACAATGAAAATATTTACGAGGGTTGTTCGATAAGTTCGTGGACGATGTCCATCTTCGTTATATTACTCACTGGAAATTCAAAACAAGCATATTATAATATGTAAAAATATTTGTTTTGTTGATGTGTGAAGTTTCATTCCATTCAATTTAACATAAATAAATTTACTTCATTTTAAAATCAACATGTTTTGTACCCGCGGAGCACACAAAACGGCAATGTGATGTCAACACATAGCGTCGAGAATTTATAATAGATACTATACCTATACATTTCACACAGAATATTCCAATGCCCATTCATTAAATTATTTTTCTAATACTTGACATTTATTTTTTAAGAATTGATCTCATTGCATAATTTCCTTTGTTAAGGTTTTAATTTCTTTTAGTACTTACCGTATTTGGCCGAGTATAATACGCATTGATGTAAAATACGCATCCCCCTTTTTGAGTCTGAAACTGGGGAAAAAAACGCAGTTCGGATGTATTATACGCAACAGAAAAATTTACCAAGCGATGTTCTGAACTATGAAAATCACGGTAATTTGTTACGAAAATCGGCGCGAGGATTAGGTGTCAAAAATTTACTGAACACTTTTTTTTTAAAATACACACTTTATAACTTTCTCTTAATCCTGACATCCCGTGTCGTGGCAATCTGGAGAAAATTATTTATTCATTTATTTCAACAAAGCACAAGATAATGTTGCGAAAAAGTATTAACAGATTTTTTTTTAAGAATAGTTACGGTGATTTTGAAATTATGCGTCGCCATATTCTTAGATGAAATAATTTTATTTCAACAAAGCAAGAGATATTGTCGAAAGTTTTATCAGTTGTCATATTTAATTTTGGTTCTAGATAATCATGCTTAAAATTATCTTACAATATTTTAACCGGAAACGAAATTGAAACATCAAAGTATTTATTTCTTTAACAAGACTACGATTTTCCTCTTCTGAATCTTCTTTTCTAAATGATACCACTTTTATTAAAAGTTTTAGCATAATTTATATTTCATTTCTCAACTCTCAATTATTTAAACAAGAGGCCGATAAGTATAAGATAAGGTAAAATTACATTTAACAAGTGTTTAATTGTTTAAGTGCCGTAATCAACACATGCTCACCATGCTCACACATACGAAAGGTCAGAAACCAACCCCCAATTTTTAACAAAGAAAATAATCACAGCAATTAACATGGCAGTAAATAATCAGTGCTCTAACTGTAAAAACATTGCTTAGGAGTCGGTAGACAATTAATTGCCCCGAGGGGTGTTGATAGGTAATTATCATTTGACCAGCGCACGTGTGTCACAACATTGGCTTCCTTTCATTGGGACGTATTGAGGGGTGTTAATATTGTTGCAGATTATCACTGAGTTATTTTAAACCTAAAATTAATATTTATTTTATTGCATTTTATTAAAAAATGATTTATTACTTTGTCTGGCAGATAAGGTGCATGTGCACTATCATTCCGGAAGCACGTGACATAGCTATGAGTGAACGTCTAAAAATAACATCGGTAATGGCGGCCTCCTCGGAGACAATCAACATGCAGCTCAAATTACTTTTAACTTACTTTTTCATGTTATTTGGGCACATTTTTAAGAAGCATACCTTCCAACAATAACTTTCCGAAGTTGAAAATATGGCAATTAACAAAAGAAATTGCATATGTCTCTAGGTAATACTACGGTATGTACGTATGATAGCCGTGTTGCACCTGAAAGAAAAACTTGTCAAAATCCCATTGTGATGTAAAATACGCATCCCTTTCTCACAGAAATTTATTTTAGGAAAAAAGTGCGTATTGTACTCCCCTAATTACGGTAACTCTGCTTTCTCAGGATAAGCAACTCTGAAGCGCCTTTGTCTTTCATTTACGTTTCAAATTGTAAAGTTTTGTTCAGATATTTACAGTAAAACGGTTTCTTCACAGGTCATCCTCATCCGATACAGAGTCCCTGTCACTCAAATATTGCCTGTACTAATTGTACACACATGCACAACTCGCTTGTGACATATTTTCTTGATTCCTTCAACATTTTTAGAGTTTATTCAGGATTTTTCCTGAGAAATACAAAAAATTGCTTCGGTACCTTCTGCTCCGTGACGTTCTAAAACGTCATCATTTTTGTCGTTTTCAATAAGGACAACTTATCTTCTCAAGTTGATTTCTTTTCAACAAAGCAAACTATAAAACCATAATTTGGTACACGTATCGATGTAACAATTCTTAATTTGAATTTCTAGGTAGTTTTTCGTTTTTCCTCCATGTTACAGAGAATATGACTATAGACATTATTTATTGTATTGTCTGCAACTGACTAAATTTTGACCTGCTCCGCGATCCAATTTTTGCATTTTTAAAATCTGGATAAGTTTTTAATCAATCGTAATATTTTGTCAAAATTAATACATATCATTTGGATTTATTGTTAAAATATTTCTACCAAATTTGGATAACATATGACGTCAAATAAAAAAGATATGACAGTTGTCCACGAACTTTTCGAACAACCCTCGTATTATCAGGATCTGGTTGCATGAACAATAGTTAAATTAACTTCAAGTAAATGCCGTAACTAGCCGTTAAATTTAACGACAAGGTACATAATTGTCAGTTAAATTGTTGTTGTTCGATAGTCAAAGTTTAATTAGCTAACTCAGATTTAATTGATGTCTTATAATTAACTCTCTGTTAAAATTGTTCAACACATGCATTTCCCTTACCTATTTTGAAAGAATACCATGATAACTGGCGTCATAATTAAAATGGTGTCAATTTGTAAATGTGAATTTGCTAAGGAAAATTTACTTTATCAGGGATCGACACTATAGGTTGTCCAATTGCCTGGGACAAGTAAATTCTCAATTCGGGCAAGTGAAACCATCTATGTACTTGTCCGATCGGGCAAGTGGATATTTCTGATAGTATTATTATTGTTAATCTCACATAAGATATAAACAACACAATAAATTCAACACTTGATTTCTGTCTTCGTAGTTTACAAAAATACACTCTCAAAGGTGTGACAACTTATGTAACATTCTTATGAATATGGAATTAATGTTTTGGATTTATTCACTTACAGAATATAAAGAATTCCAGTTATTCTTGGTGCAAGATGTATCTTGATTTA